TCTAATGGAGTCATGGAAATCTGCTGAAGCTTGGCAAGAAGTTAAGAAATCATGTGAATGTATAACCTTTGTAGAAGTTGAAGAACCAGAATTGAAGGGGTCATACAGACATGTTGAGGCTTGGTACCATAAAGAGAGCCTAGGAAAAGCCATTGGTGAAAGCGCAGCCTAGTTGCAGCGAAGACCCTGGTATTTTGTAGATGCCATTACCATGGGATGACCATGAGGAACAGCAGCAGTAATGAGGTGGAACCTTTCCAAGCTTAGAAGGCAAGCTGTGTGTGCTGCAGAAGTTTCAGGAAATAATTGGTTTGTGGATATTGTTCTAAAAAAAAATGTCTAAATTATCAGTAGTAGCCAATATATATAATGTCAGACCTTTACTCCCTGCCACTCTAAACAAGCATCTATGTATAAAGAAACCATATGTTTCTTTCTGTGAACTGTCTAAAGTTACATAAAAACCTCTTCCCAATTGGTCTACCCTGCAAATCATAGACGATGGTGCTTTTGAGACAGATTATTATTGCACACGCACTCCAACTCAGCCTGTCCGAAACTATACCTTTTGCATTGCAAAGAGCTTCCAAATGTCAAAAACAGAGCCAGCCGTGAGGACTGAATTTTTTTCTTAGATACAGCTGTTAAAGTCTTTGAATTTGTAAGGCTATGGGGCTTTTAAAGTTTGTAAAATGTATCATGTTGTAAGGCCTTTATTAATCTGTGATCTTGGGAATGAACAAGAAAGGGAAGTCTTTGGCTTAAGGGTGATGTCTTTGTGTCAACTTGACAAGGAATCAATTGTTCTGTGTAGTTTCATGTCAACTTGACACAAGCTGGAGTAATCTGAGAGGAGGAAGCCTCAATTGAGAAGACGACCTCATAAGATCAGGCTGTTTGAGGGGCATGTTTTAAATTAGGGATTGAAGGGGAAGTCCCAGCCCACTTGGGTGTTGCTGCTTCTGGGCTGGTTATCTGTAAGGACATTCTACAAGGAAGCAGGCTGAGCAAGCTGTGAGGAGCAAGCCAGGAACCAGCATCCCTCCATGGCTTCTGGATCAGCTCTTGCTTCCAGATTCTGCCTGGTTTGAGTTCCTGTCCTGGCTTCCTTCAGTGGTAGACTATGCTATGAAAGTATAAGCCCAATAAACCCTTACTTCCCCAACTTCCTTTTGGTCATGATGTTTCATCATAGCAAAGGTAACCATAAAACACATTCTTACACCGATGACATGTATCATTTTAGGGAGAGCAGAAAAATAACCCAAAAGAGTGAAAACTCTACAGCCTATAGACAAAATGAAAAAGGACATAAAGTTGAAGGTGGGACAACGAGACAGGCTGCAGGCTGCCTGTCCAGGAAGGTCTTCCTAGGGAAAAGAAGATCCCAATGGAACCGGAGGCTCGGCATGGTTTGTTTTGTTTTGTTTTGGTTTTGCTTAAGTCATCTCTGACACACATATGAAGATACTAAGGAACTGTATCCTCTAACTCGCTGTGTGTTTTTCAACCTGCAAGAGTTAGATGCAAAGTCAGATTGTTGAGTTAATACCATTTTTCTTTGACAGCTTCTTAAAAAGAAAAAACAAGCCACAAACACACCCTTCTAAAAACTGGCTAGTGAAGGTAATGGCTGTGACAAACTGGGTTTCATGGAGATTACAGGCTGTGTACTTCAGAATAAGAATCATTTGTATTAGCTTGTTCCCCAAAAGAATGCAAAGTGCCAATTATGGCGTGACTGGAGCTTAGCTTTAGCTCTTGTTTTATTTTTTGAGAGTTCACTTTGTGTGTTTAAAAACATTGCTGGAATAAAACATCCCCTGCTTTTCACTTTATTCCAAGCCCATCATAGAATTGCCTTCTGCAGAATGGTATTATACTATCAGTCTTAAGGTTTAGTGCTCACTTGCTTTCTCTGGATGCATGTATTCCTTTTCACTAAAGTCATATTTTTAGTTGTAGCGAGGTCAAATCCCAAGATAACCCCCAACATCCCTACCCTCTCTTCTACACGGTGCTCCTTACTGAATCAAATGTCTATCTAGTTGCTAGGAGGAGGTTTTCCAGATATAATGAAGTCCCCAGATAATTCATTTTTAAAAATGGATTGTTATTCTTGGAAGTCTAATCAAATGATACAGTAAGAAAAGACTAGACTTTAGTTTGATCTCAGTTCAGCCTCAAGAAAGTAAGCTCTAATATTCTAGTGAACTTGAAAGTGGGTCACAAACCACAGAATATGAAAGCAGCCCCAACCAGACTTTCAATCTCAGTCATGAGACTATGGGCACTAGGTGGTCAGCCCTGAAAACATACATATAACATTATACAGACTGTAGTTCTTATGTTTAGGAATATATCTATATACCTGCACATACATGCTTGCAATAATAATTAGTTAAAAAATAAATTTAAAGGAAAGCAGGGAATGGTATATAGGAGGGTTTGGAGGGAGGATAGGAAATTTCAAAAATAAGAATAAAAATGAACAACTCCAAACATATCATAGTATTCAATATACATATATACATATATGTATTAAATTAGTGCAAAGAAGTCAGCTGTGCCACATACAGCACTGGGAAATGCTTTGAACTGCAAATTCTGTAGTAATTAGTTACTCAGAGACAGAAGATGAATGCATCTGTGTTTTCTTTGCCAGCGCATGCAAAGCTGGTGAGGGAAACAATGTCTAACAAAATGGTGTTTTAATTTACGAAAAGGCTAGATTACAAGCAGCTGTACTAAGTTGGTTTTTGTTGATTTGGGTTTTGTTTGTTTGTTTGTTTGTTTGTTTTTCTAATCTAAGTGATCTTAAGCAGATGAGTAACCCAGTCTGTGCAGAATGGGAAGGTAATGGGGTGGGTTTTTTGCCTTTCTGCATTACATGATTATATCCATAAAAGCAGGTCTCATCCAGCCTTAGTATTATATATATTGGAATATGATAAAATATATATGAACAATATATACTATATATAGCATTATATATAGTATATATGTAATATATATTATGTGTAGTAATATATATTACATATAGTATTATATATATTAGTGTATAATATATTAGGAGACTCCCAATATTATTGCAACTTGATATGCCATGTTTGTTTGACATCCCTGGGATGCCAGCCCTTTTCTGAAGGGAAACAGAGAAGTAGATAGGAAGTGAGGAGATGTGTGTTTGGGGAAGGACTGGGAGAAGAGGAGGGAGGGGAAACTGTGGCCAGAATGTGATGTATGAGAAAAAAATTGATTGAAAAAGAAACAAAGAAAAGTTGGTTTTAAGTAAAGTGTTTATTCATGTAGGATTAAGTAACAGTAGCTTTAATTTAGGGCTTTGTAGCTTGTGTTACTCAAAGCTGTATGGGGACTGTAGTCCCCAAAGCTTCTCTAAAACATATATATTTTGTTTTAGGTGTCTGTGTGTGGGTGGTTGAATATGAGGAGGACAGAGATACTGGATCTCTGTGGAGCTGGAGTTACAGGCAGTTGTGAGCTGCCCCACATGGCTGCTGGGTGCTGAACTTTGTTCCTCTGCAAGTGTAGCAATCACCCTTGGCCACACTGCTGTCTCCATCCTCCCACCAAAATGCAACACTTTAAACTCTGGGTTGTCAATGTCCAGTTTCCCCAGATGCTTACAGCCTCTCTGTGGGATTTGAAGACACAACCCATATGGCGCTTTAGCAGCATACAGTGAAGCCGAACCAGTCTGTTTTCATTTGTGAGCCTGTGTTGCCATCTGTAAATACAAGAGTCTCAGGTGTGTGACTTTTCCACAGTTGTCTTCCTCTGCTCTATTCAGAAGAACTGTTTTATGAGAAGATGAATAGATTTGAAAGCTTGTACATGTTCTCAAGTTAAATGTTTCTTTCCCTTTGACCATCTTTTGTCTTGACACACTAATACGATTCAAAGAAGGAGAGTGAGTACCCAACTAAGACAGAATACTTTCTTCAAGCTGACCCTCATCCCCTTTCTCCTGGCCAGTCACTGGGAAAACCCCTCACAAATGAACAAATATGCTACATGTATGACTGAATAGATGCACAAATAAATTGCAAGCACATTTAATAATTCAAGTGGAACTAATTGAAAGATAGTTCAATTTGTGTCCTAGAAGTCAGAAGCCCTTAAGTTTGAAAAACCTCCAACTTCTATTATGTGAGGGAAATCACTTTATATTTCTGAATAGATGTCTCCTTTCAGAGTGTAGCTAAATTATATTAAAGCATCCCTAAGATTTCCTTTATTCTGAATTTAAACATCAAGCCATTTAGAAAGCCAAGTGTAGAGCACTCTACCATTTGTGTAGAGCATCAGTTTGGCGTTGTAATTGAGTGTGTTAGATTACATCAGTCAGAGAACATACAGCACTTCTTCAGCCAACTCTTGTTTTTGGGTTCTTGGATCTTATGTTGTTGTTGTTTTGTCTTGTTTTTAATGAACCATTGTCCACACAGTCTATATTCTCTACGCACAGGATTCATTCCTTTCAGGTTTATTGGATAAACACATTCTTTTAAAATTTGTATCATTGCATTACTCCCTTTCATTTTCTCCCTCATATGTCTTCTATATATCCTTCTCCAATTCATCAAATCCATGGCCTCTTCTTTCATTTATGGTTATTGCATGCGACTGAATAGATGCACACATAAACTGTATGTTATTGCATGTAAGGATCCATGTGTATACGTATATTCATGAGTATTCCTACATATAACCTGCAAGGCTCTGCTGACAGCAGTTGTACTTGGCATTACAGGGCTGCCACCAAATGTCATAATAAGCAGAAATCAGGGGCAAGAACACAATTCCCAGGTATAGTCTTTTCAATATCTTCACGCAGGACCAAAATGACTTTAACCAAAATCAAAATAATGTCCTCTTGGTATTAAAGGAAGCAAATGGCAATGTGGATTTATCCAAACACAACTAGAAAACCTGCAACTACTCCCATGAGAGAGTAACCATGGTGTTCCTTTATGCAGAGTGGCAGGCTATGACATTCACAACAGAGATCTGAAGCCATGGATGATGGCCCTTCTCACCGCGCTCTCCCTGATGATGGTGGTAGTGACCATTGGACTTCTGGCTCACCTCCTTGTCTTCGGTAAGGGACAGTTGAGACTCTCACGAAAGTGATGCGCAAATCATGTAGTACGGTGTAATTTGCATATCTGCAAATGAAATTCATGCTTTTACCTGGGACTGTCCCCGCTTAGAATATTTCCGAGTTTATTCCGTCATCTCATCACAAATAATTATTGTAACACTCTTAAATACAAATGTTTTTCTGGGTGCTTAATGATACCATTAGTACAGTGTTCAGCAAGGTACAAAAGCTTCTCACTTGCCGAGGTGCCGTGTCTTTTAGAATCTATATATAATATTAAAACCACTCATTGTCGTTTGGGTGATAGCAGTCAGACTAAGCAAGTCTAACCATTAGCTGCACATCAAGATGAAAAACTATAACCAAGTCGCTATCAAAATTGGTTCTTTAATTTGCCATTGTTCTCTGCCCAGTAGAATTTCAAGGGCAACTCCCCTGGCAGAAACACATATCTAAAGAATGAATTTTAAAATCACATATAAATTATGATGTAATATTGTCTCTTACTCTTAGAAAAAGTTGTTCTCCTCAAACAGTATTTAAAGATTTTGTTTTTACTGTCTAATATATTTATATTAACACAAATAATGCTCTGTCTGTATTTTATCATTCTTTGCTAAGTACAAACCATTTACACTTTTTGACAAATCTCTACAATGGAACACTCACATGATGTATGTGTGCTACAAAAATGAGAAGCTCGAGGTAATCACTTGTATGGTTTTATATGCTGTCATCTTTGAAGAGGTCGTCTATAAAGACGGGGAAACACCTGAGAAACGACTTTGTACCATATTCTGAGACTCATACTGAAACCCCAGTAGCAGTTTATACCGATGACAAAAGATCCATACTAATTATACAAAAGCATCTTCAACTCTTCACAACAGGCTCTGATCTCTTTTCTTTCCATCGCTGATCGCCAGACAGCTGATTGACACCACCGTTACAAACTATTTTCATTTGCGATCTCTGACAGCCTTTCTCTTGGTGATTTCCTTCGTTGTATTTTGGTCTTTCTCCACAAGTAAAAGTATGCGAGATTACTCACTTACCTCTACTCCTGCATGGTTTATACCTCAGCACACACAAGAAAATATAGCAATGAACACCCAAACTCGGGAGCCTCACTGTAAAATAGAAACTTCTTAAAAGACCTCTTGTTGGTTGTATAGCAAGCATCAAGGTAGTTGATGTTGTTGTGTCTACACTACAGTAGTTACTACTACTTACTTCTCTCCTTTATAAAATGGAGGTCATGCCAACCTCAAGAACCTGGAATTATGATGAAACCATACATGCGAGGTTCTGTACATAGTAAAGATTCAACAAATATCATCTACTAATATTAACATAAAACTATGCTTGTACACTACTATGTTTTTTTTCTTAAGTTCAACTAGAAAGAGGTTTGGTGATAAATTTACAGCTTCATTTCTGGTTCATTGTAGTTAGATCTTGGATCCAGGAGTCTTTGCGTTGCTTATGCATGTTCTACTTTTCATTATCATCACAGGCCAGAAAATGGAATATTACCAAGGGACCTTGACAATTTCGGATATTCAAGACAATAGCAATTCAGGACGAAAGAGCTCAAGTCAATTGAAAGACTTCCAGGAGATGAATGAAAATTTGGTAAGACTGATAAAATTTATCTTATCAGAAAATAACTGCTAGAATTTTGTGGCTCACTAATTTTATTTCCAAAAACATAATTTTCATACCACCAACATCAGCATCCACGTGTACCTTTCTAGCCCCCACCTCAGACCAGTTTATCGTCTATTTCATGAGATGTATAGATAGAGTTGGGGTGAGAGAATGTGCCTGTCTAATAAGTTGGGGCTCTGACTGGAATCTCTCCTTAAACGATGAAAAGATGTATGATATAGGATCTATCCTGCTGTTTCTCTAATTTCTCTAAGAGCTTTCCCTAGTAGAAAAGTCCAGGTGCATTAGAACTCATTGTTGGTTACAACATGTTTCTTATAAAACCATCTTTCACAGTTTTAAAAATAGCTATAAGCAGACAACAAAGATAGAAGTTTTACTTTGGAATGTGTTCGTTAAGGGGAGAAGCCCAGATTTACTTCCTGATATTTATAGTTAGTGTTAAGAAATTTGTTAAACCTAAAAAGTCCAGGACACCTTCCAAAAGGGAAATGTCTTCTTGGTTTTATACAGTTATGTTCTCAATGTCCATGAATCCTCACTCAAGAACTTCTCAGCTTAATCTGTCTAAAGTAATCACAGAAGGTTGAGTCACTTAAAGGGAATAAATAATGACTATTCTTCATATCTTTTTTTTTTCTTTCTGCTTTGAAGGGCAATTTCTTTCTTTTTTTTATTGGATATTTTATTTACATTTCATATGTTATCCCCTTACCACATCCCCCACCCACCCGGGAACCCCCCATCCCCTTACCCCTCCTCCTTCTTCTCTATGGATGTAACCCCCACCTACCCCCCCACTCCCACTTCCCCACCCTCAAAATTCCCACCCCCTGGGGCGTCCAGCCTTCATGAGGTCAAGGATCTCATCTTCCACCTGTGCCCAGCAGGGCCCTCTACTCTTACACAATGAATTCGAGAGGTTCCTAGGTAAATGGATGGAACTAGAAATTATCATCCTGAGTGAAGTAAGCCAATCACAAAAGAACACACATGGTATTCACTCACTGATTATTGGATATTAGCCCAGAACCTTGAAATGCCCAAGATGCAACTCACAGGCCACATGAAGCCCATAAAGAAGGAAGGCCAAGTGGGGGTGATTCAGTTCTTCTTAGAAGGAGCAGCAAAATACTCAAGGGAGCAAACATGGAGACAAAGTGAGGGACAGAAACTGAAGGAGGGGCCATTTGAAGACCTTTCCACCTGAGTATCCACCCCATATGCAGTCACCAAAGGTAGATGCTGATGTGGAAGTCAGGAAGTACATGCCGATAAGGGCCTGATATGGATGTCTCCTCAGAGGCCTTCAAGAGTCTGACATATTCAGAGGCAGATGCTCACAACTAGCCATTGAACTGATCATGAGGTTCTCAATGGAGGAGTTAGAGTGAGGACTGAAGGAGCTGAAAGGGTTTGTGGCACCATGAGGAGAGCAACAATACCAACCAACCACAGCTCCCAGGGTCCTAACCACCAGCCTGGGAGCACTTATGGAGGGATCCAGGGCTTCAGCTGAATATGTAAGACTATTCTTCATATCTTAAGATTGATTTATTTTAAATCTGAGTGTGGCGTTTTATCTGCATGTACACCAATATACCAGAAGAGGGCACCAGATCTCATTATAGATGGTTGTGAGCCACCATGTGGTTGCTGGGGATTGAACTCATGACCTCTGGAAGAGCAGTCAATGCTCTTAACCACTGAGCCATCGCTCCAGCCCCTATACTTCATATTTTAATCAAGACTTTTTTTCTTAAAATATTTCCATTTTCAAATCCATTGTCATGTTTTCCATGTGACCACATTCCTACGTGCAATATGCACAACTACAGCATGCTTGCGGTGATGTTGTAGATCATGTTTCTAATCTAATGCATATTCTCAATTATCATTAAGCTTTACAGATTTTCTATCTTGCATTTTCATGTCCCAACATACATTTTATGTTTACAGATTGAGGTATGTTACCCCCCTATGCCTTTGCATCCAGAGTATACATTTGTAATATATTCTTGAGAAATCCCAGAATGAGATGTGTGTGTGTGTGTGTGTGTGTGTGTGTGTGTATGTGTGCGTGTGTGTAAAACCCAATTAATTTTACCTCTAGTGACTTTCTGATACATAACTCAGTGGTGGTGGTGCACAACTTTAATCCCATCACTCTCGAGGCAAAGGGAGTAGATCTCTGTGAGTTCAAGGCCAGCCTGAACCAAGGCTACACAGAAGAAGAAAAAAATGTGTATATATATATGTATATATATATATATATATATATATATATATATATATATAAAACTTGAAAAAATAAATTCTTTCAGAGATAAAAATATTATCACTCATTGAGAATCTTGAACCTCTTTTACTTAGTCAACATTCAACATTGCTGTCATTGTTTGAATACATAATGACTGATAAATGCTACCTTTACTGAGCTACATATGATTGCACTAGGTCTGAAAATAAATAAGCAACATATGAACTTGCAGCAGATGTGCTTCATATCCTACCCAGGGCCGTCATGAGTCTGCAGCAGGTCCCCTGCATCTATAGCATGAATTCATGAGATTCCCAAGCGCGTGAATGAGTGTGTCTCCGATTCTTGTGCCTTCTCTTGGGTTGTTTTTCTTCTGTTTGGTTGTTTTGCCCAATGCTGTGTTAGCTTTTTGCTGTATCTGACTTTATTATCTTTTATTATTTAAAAATAAAAGTAATGAACAAAATTTGGACATACATGTGTAACAGAAACTGGGTTTCAAGTAGATTTTCGAAGGTCACTTTGAGTTTCTAGCATGTGTGCATTTCTAGGCATGTAATTGCCCCAGGGACAAATGTTGACTTAAATAGTGACATATTATTCTCAGAAGTATATTCAGGGCCTTTAATGGCTGTCACTACATATTTATGGGACATGTACTTGAACCAAGTAAGCTATGGGACCCCATGGCCTGCTACATATTTCATGTCCTTTATCCTCATAAAACACGTACATATTCCTTCCCCTTCAGGTCACCATTCTGTTTTATGAGAATTTTTGTTTGTTTGAAATCATTCTTGCAAAGTGACATTTTGTTTTATGTGAGCATTCTTTAAACTTACCTCTTGTGTTACAGACCATGTCTTTTCCGTTCTGTTCTTATGCAAATCTTTCTGAGAGAACTATCTACGCTGCTGATTGTGTATCTAATTCATTGTAATTTCCCCCAGATAGTTTAAACCTGCCATTTCTTACCTTTGTTTCTGTTAGGCATTGCAAGAAATGTCCTAATCATACTCCTCCTTTTCCTATTATTGATAATTCCAAGTATTTCGGGAAGCAGAACTCCTGGTTCACTGGGCGTGATTTCATTCACAGGTTAAGGACCATTCTTGAGAGTGGCTGACTCAGCGCATTCTCTGATCTGTAGTACAAAGTGATTGGTGTTCCTGCACATCTTACCCAAAATGGGAATCTTTTGCTCTCTCTTTGTTTTTTATAATATATATCACAGACATATCACATATGTGATATATATATATATATATATATATATATATATATATATCACAGACAGGGTAAATTAAACAACACACTTTTATTTCAAATAGTTCTGAAAGTTCAGAAGTTTAATATCACGTTCTTAGCAGTATGGGTATCTGGTGAAGACCTTCTTCTTGGTCATAGAAGACTATCTTCAAAATGGAAAGGGATAATTGTTTGTAAGTTTTCTGTAAATGAGACTGAAAGCCTGACAGACATAACTTGAGTGAAGAAAGATTTATTTTTATCTCAATTCATAGTTGGTTGGTCCCACACACTTGACAGAACACCATGCTGAGGCAGTGAGCAGCACAGATCACATTTGCATCGTAGTAGGTCAGGAAAGAGACAGCAATATAACTATGGTCTCCAGACAAACTAATAATTTTAGAATTCTATGTTTTATATTAGCTCTTAAATTCTTCTGGTGAATACCCTTGAGTGTGACCTTAACAGAGAACTGGTTTTTAGACACCATTTAATGAGCTACTTTTCAAAAACAGCTAACTAAGCATTCTAAGGTTTTCTTGTTTTTTTAATTTTTTTAAACTTAATTTTGCCTTTTTACTCATTCACTTTACATCCAGCCCCCTCCCAGTAATTCCTCTCACAATTCCTCTCCCATCCCACTCCCCTTCTCCTCTGAGTGGGTGGGGACCACTACATACTTCCTTCCTGTCCGTTGAGGCCAGACACTACAGCCCAGCTAGAACAGACCCCACATACAGGCAGCAGCCTAAGCTTCTCTTAGTATGAGTATTAAGCTTATTGTTTTTCTTGGCGCATAGGTCTTTCAGTAAAGGAAATATGATCTGTCTTTTCAAGTTGTTGCAATCTCTTGAGGGAGATGTGAGTGACACGCGTGGAGCTGGAAAGCAGGGCAGGATATAATTAAGGATTAAACTGTGTAGAGGGTCTTAAGTGTAGGAGAATCTCAAAGGAAAAGCAGACCGAGGAGGATCCCTGTGGTCAGGGAAAGCTTTGTATTATCTCACTAGCTTAAATCAAGCAGCGATCTCCCCTTCCCTTACAGAGTTCGCTTTATGGAACTTCCTGGAAGGCTTCAAGCCGCATCCTGAGCCACTCCTCTTAATAGTTGCTAAATCCTAATGAGTAAAACCAGCTTCTTCTCTTTCCTCTGTGGATACTAATTGGATCGCCAAGAAAGACGGCTGCTGATCCTGTTCTGCCTCATAGTTTTGGCTTTACCCACACGAATGGAGATGTAAAAGTAAATTGAGTTCATTCCCCAATATTGCCAAAACTCCCAATTCCGAGAAACATTGTGAGGGATGTAGATATCCCTTCATATCTTTTAGAGAAGACTGGTTTTCTGGAACGAGGAAAAATATTCTTTAAGTTGTTATCACGTTACCACAATGAGCCCAAGATAAGCTGAAAATATTAAAAGGCAAAAAAGCATATGATACACTTATTTTAC